ATTTCCAACTTAGATTCCATGCACCCTAATTAATGAATGCTAACCCTGGGTGGCCACCATTTTGTATAAACAAACGCACATTGTAGACAAAAGAATGGCGGCCATCTTGTTTCCCAAATGTGGGCAGCGATACTTGGTCGTCGAGCGTCTGGAACTCTTTTTGCCAAGCACTTGCACCAACCCCGGTAAAGATAAGATCGTTGTCCGTTCTATTTCCCGACCACCTATACAAACGAGGTTAGGGAAAACAGGGGGAGCATTCGTATCCTGAAACAAAGAGACTCCTTTGCATGGTGTTCGCACAGGAACCATGAACAGAGACAGGCCAGGACACCTATTTACCTGGAACTGTTTTGGGCTAGTGCCTCATGTCTGGCCAGTCAAAACTTTACCCCGTGGCATTCCCGTTTCACTGAACCGATCTGAGTGATCTTTGGATATGTTATACACTCAGATCAGGGCTATCCGGGGATATAACTTTTGTAGGGTTCCTAGTTATGGTGGGGACACTTTTGGAGTACTATATATTTTGTATTGATTTTCTTTACCTGAGAGATAATTAATGTGACGAGACCAATCTCGCCACTGTGCATTGGAGGAGCCTGGTTGCCTGCCTGCTGCCTTTTGACTATGGACCGGCATTTAAATACTTTATTTTCCTATGCAGAAAGGTCTATTCCTGTATTTCTGCTCTGGCATTCGGTAGATTCTCAGATTTACTGAATGAACTCATTTAACCCAGATAGCTATGCCATGGAGACTATTCGTGTAATAAAATACTTTGGCTCCATGGCAATTGAACTGTATATGTGTGTTCTGAGCGCCATTCAGTAATAATGTACACTCAGACCTAAGCTATCTGGGGATATGTTGCATGTCTGTATTTTGTCATAAATGTAACCTTGTAATGTGTATTTTATTGTATTTTACTGTCTTTTTACTGCCATGTGCTTAATGGAGTTTTGCCTCTGTCCTTGGAGATAATTGGATTACTTCCCAATTATTTCCAGGATAGAAGACTCTGTGGAACTGGTTTTGGGCAGAAAAGCCATGCTTCATTTGGTCACAAAGGACTACGATCTATCTTTTGAACCAATGGACAAATGTGGATGATTTTGACGTATGTTTGTATTTGGAGTATGCTGATTCTGAAAATGTATGTGAATGTGATGCAAACTTTTCAAGTTATGAATAATGTGGAAAAACTGTATTTCTCTGTCTGTGATAATTACATTACCCATTGTGTAAGGTAATTGTATCACAGGCAGAGGGGAGGATTTTGTGTGGGAGTGTCTGAGTGTATTGTACGTGTTTATTGGTTGTTTTCCAAAACCGTGTGGGTGGTACTAATGTGTAAGAATGTGTACATAAGCACAATAAACCCACAGCTCTGTCTGTTCCTGCTTGACCCTCAAAACGGAGCCTTGTCTCGTTCTTGGGGGGATTTATTGTATGCTGTTCCAGTTTGACTGCTAGGAGTGTAAACCTATTCGTATGGTTTTGCTATTCGGCTGTTTACAGCATTCGTATGCTTCTCCGGTTCGGTGGATTGGTGTCTACAGTAGCTGCTTGTGTCTCTGGAAGGGAAGATCTACTAACCGGCGGTTTAACCCTTTTATGCCTGGGGGTGCCGTTACAATTAGATTAGATTTTTTTCTCATGCAATTATCTCTCAGGCAAAGAGGATCCTGGGATTGAAAACCCTGTATTTGTGTATCGGAAACCCCATGTAGGGGACTGGGCATACAATCCGTGTGTGGCCTGAATAAAATCAGTTGACTCCCTCGACTATGTTTCGTCTGGTTACTGGGGGAATGGATGTTTGCTTATTTTAATGGTTCCAGAGTAGGAATTAGCGGAGGTTACCGGCCGGGACCGTGTTACCCATAGTCCATTACAGTCAAATTAGATGTAAACCCAAATAAAGGTAGGATCTAGGTGGGACGGCTGAATGTTATAGGTAAAAATGCTACCATTTATAATATGTTATGTATGCTTGCCATGATTGTGGTTCGAGGTTGGAATGGGCCGTCTTGTAGTAAGAGATTACAGATTTATCAAGTTCCAGGAATTTTATAATCTCTTCGGTAACGTCTTCACATAGAATGTCCTAAATTATACAGAGTTACTAACCAGAGTTACAGGCGCTAGCTGTCTGTAAGGGTAATTCTGTAATTAAACAGAAAATCCCAGAAATCTCCCCAAACTCTGCTGGACTCTGTTTAATTTTATAACACGACAGGAGGCTTCGTATTTGCTTTAGTCTCTCATTACTAGAACTCCACAGCAGCACATTAACATAGAGAGAAACAACCAATCAGAATAAAGTAAGGTAATATAAAACTCCCCTTCTTTGCTGCTCCGCAGTCAGTACAGGTCAGAGTACCACTGCCTCCTGCTAATATTAGTTGGTGGCTTTGGGGTTTATTACTTATTTACACTTGTTTTTAGAGGTTTTTTGGGGGGATTTTCTGTGCAGCTTATGCTTTCCTATATTAATGTTAGACTGTCTTTGTATTCATGGGGGGTCTGGTGGGCCTTACTGTGCCTTTATATATTCATGTCCCTTTTATGTACCTTGCAGTATATATTGTATGTACCTTTTTATATACTTTTTTTAGTGCCTTTTATATACCTTATCCCCCCCAACCCCCTCTGTCTACTGTTTTACCCCCCTTTTCTTTCCCTCTGCCGCTTTACTGTCGGCGGGTTATGCTGTTATGCTGCCGGTACCGCAGCGTACAGATCCGACTGTCCCGTACGCGGGTTACACCGGCCCTGGAGTGCTCCCGAACAGCGTGAACACCCGGCGGCCGGAACTTATCTCCCGCATGGCCGCTTGCATCAGACCGGGTGATGAAGGCTGCTCCTGCTCGCGCCCCCCCATCATCTTGGGCATCACGAAGGAGTACTTAGTGACTAGGACCTCATGGTAGGTTCTGTAATGGCGGGCTTGGTTGTAGGGGCCTTAACAGCATAAAGATGCCAGGAAATAGTTCACCCTAAGGCAAGTCATTTCAGGAATGACAGAAATTTAAAACACTGCCATATAATAAAGGTCTTCTAACCTTGTCTAAATAGATAAAAGGTATTATATCATGGCAATTAATTTTTATTTTTATTTTTCCAGTCCTTCTGCAACTAGCTTTGCTAATAGGCAAATTTGATTGGATTATGTTACATACATACATTATCATAACGGACATGCATATTGTGACAGGAATTCATGAGACCAGATTCTATATATATATATATATAGAGCTCCCTCTATCCGTGCAGTTTGGTCTCCTGCTGCTGGCAGAACACTACACCTGTAATTGGCCTGCAGTGTCTGTGCCCCATTGATTGGCCTGCAATGTCTGTGCCCCATTGATTGGCCTGCTGTGTCTGTGCCCCATTGATATGACGGCCGACGTTCCCAAACTGGACGGCCTCTGCTTCGGACGGTTGTAGTTGGGACCTTGTTGGTTCGCTATTCCGGTTCTCGGGAGTCTCCTATCGTTAGTGAAGGGACTTTTAATCTTACCTGCATATTTGAGAATGCTATGGGTTCTCGAGACTCCAGGCTAAGAAGGGAGGTATTCCTATAATTTGGTTCTCAAATTCACATTCCTGGGTCGCTTGGCCTCGGGCCTACTCGGGGAGATACGTGCCCGGACAGTCAGGGATACAGGGACCTAAGGTCTCACCATATTATACCCTGTCTTGAAAGTGGCGTGCTGACCATGAGTCCCTCCACGAATTTTGACAGGTGGGACATAGAACAGGATCGTACAGGCGATTTATCGGATTATTCACTCTTCCCCTAATCAGTTGCCAGTCTCGCAGATGGAAGTCCAACTCCAGACCCGCTCACTAGGGCCATTTTGTTTTTCATCAGCCGGCCTATACTTCGAACCGATTTAGAATAATTTGCGATTCTCCACGCGATAAACACGGAGGACTCTTCTTAGTCCGGATCCAAGGAAAATAGATCTGTCACTACCCGACAAAGATATATTTGGAGGGAAATCTCATACTCTATGTGACGGTCCCGCTGGCACTCCGACCGAGTACCTCCTCCAATCGATGCTCCTAGTGCTTGCCGAGGACTTCAAGCACGCCAACCGACACCATCAGCACTGCAGACTTATCCCATCCCCCAAGCATGAACCAAGGCTTCCAGAAAGGGTCAAGCAGGTCTGTTTTAATGAGCACACAAAGCAACAGCACTCACGCAGCAAAACAACTCCTCCTCAGAGTAAAACAAACTGTCAGTTAAAGACAGACAGCGTTTGAAAATATGACAGTTATTAAGGGTTTTTAAACTGGAGTTCTAGGAGGGAGGGAAATAAAACAGTCAAACTAAGTCCATAAAACAGGGCCCCCTTCCCCACACTCTGCATCCGAAGTGCATAGCAAAACTGCAGATCCTTTGTCAGAGCATTTAAAGGGCCAGAACCAGTCTAATAAAATCCACTATGCTCAAATAACGTATTTAAAGGGCAAAATCTTCCAGGGGACATAGTCGCAGGGCAGGAGGCTGGCAATTAGTCCTCTCCAGGCACAAGTGACAAAGGGCACTTCGTCACACATCTTCCCTCTGGGGGGGAGACTAACCAGGTACCTGACCTTCTGTCGGTCAGTACCTGAGTTAGTCGAGTAGCCCACCCACAATAAACATTTAACAGAGTAGCCCACCCACAATACACCATTACTGCACCTGGTGATTCCTGGTGTCCGGCTCTGGCCTGTATGTCCCAGGTTGCTGAGGGGAACCAGTGGACAGAGACCAGCGGCGCTCTGCCCGGATGCCAGCGCTTCTGCTGGGTTGGCCAGTGGGTATTCAGGTTCTGAACAAGAGGGCAAGGGGGGGCAGAAGCCGAACACGCTCTGACCGGATGCCAGCTCTTCTGCTGGAAGGGGGTCAGTGGAGGCTAACATCTTCTCCACTAAACCCAGTACCGGGTTAGGGGTTGGCTGTGGAGGGGAAGGGTCACCTACCTCCTCCTCCTGGTACTCCTGCTGCCGCTGGGGAGCGATACCGGTTGTCTCCTCTCCCTGAAGATCACACTGCCGCTGGGGAGAGAGCCAGGTTGCCGCCTCTCCCTGGGGCTCCAACTGCAGTTGGGGATCTGGGCCAGCTGCCCAGCATCCCTGTAGGGCCGGTAGAGAGACCTTGGTCCCATCTCCACCTGCCATTTGAGGTTCCTCACAGTGCCAGTCTATGAGATCACCCAGGACTTCGGAATAAGGACCACCTGCCTCCTCTCTCTGTAGCTCTGGCTGCAACTGGGGATCTTGGCCGGCTGCCCAGCATTCCTGTACTGCCGGTAGAGAGACCTCGGCCCCATCTCCACCTGCCATTTGAGGTTCCTCCCACTGCAAATCTATGAGATCCCCCAAGACTTGGGAATAGGGACCACCTGCCTCCTCTATCTGTAGCTCTGGCTGTAACTGGGGCTCTGGGCTGGCTGTAACTGGGGCCTGTAGGGCCGGTAGAGAGACCTCGGTCCCATCTCCACCTGCCATTTGAGGTTCCTCCCAGTGCAAGTCTATGAGGTCCCCCAAGACTTGGGAATAAGGACCACCTGCCTCCTCTGCCGGTAGCTCCAGGTGCATTTGGGGATCTGGGCCGACTCCCCAGCATCCCTGTGGGGCCGGTAGAGAGACCTCGGTCCCATCTCCACGTGCCTGTTGGGGTTCCTCACAGGACCAGTCTATGAGGTCTCCTACTTCGGGTACCTCTGGCTGCCTCTGGGGAGAGAGGCTAACCTCCTTTCCTTGAAGGCTTCTTTTCCTTGCTTTAGCCAGCAGGAATTCTTGGTCCCTCTTTGCTTCTCTTTCAACGGTTACCTGGTTCCAGATCGCCTGGAAGGTATCCATGGACACATCAGGGCCATACCAGGCCACTCGTTGCCTCACCTCGGCCAGAAAATCTTCGCAAGAGTCAGAGTATGCCATACTTGCTTGCTCCAAGTCAGTGGACACCTCTGCTTCCAGGGGGAGCTGCACGAATGCTAGCGTTGCCCTCACTTTAAACACTACGTTATCAGTGTCTCTGAGCTGCTTCTCCTCACACTAGGACGCCATCCCACCGCTGCCACCACTTGTGAGGGACCCGCTGGCACTCCGACCGAGTACCTCCGCCAATCGATGCTCCTAGTGCTTGCCGAGGACTTCAAGCACTCCAACCGACACCATCAGCACTGCAGACTTATCTCATCCCCCAAGCATGAGCCAAGGCTTCAAGAAAGGGTCAAGCAGGTCTGTTTTAATGAGCACACACAGCAACAGCCCTCACGCAGCCAAAACAACTCCTCCTCAGAGGAAAACAAACTGACAGTTAAAGACAGACAGCGTTTGAAAAATATGACAGTTATTAAGGGTTTTTAAACTGGTGTTCTAGGAGGGAGGGGAATAAAACAGTCAAACTAAGTCCATAAAACAGGGCCCCCTTCCCCACACTCTGCATCCGAAGTGCATAGCAAAACTGCAGATCCTTTGTCAGAGCATTTAAAGGGCCAGAACCAGTCTAATAAAATCCACTATGCCCAAATAACATATTTAAAGGGCAAAATCTTCCAGGGGCCATAGTCGCAGGGCAGGAGGCTGGCAAATAGTCCTCTCCAGGCACAAGTGGCGAAGGGCACTTCGTCACACTCTAGTTTTGTTTTCCCCTTTTGGTTATATCCAGGATGCACAGTTCCCCAGAGTAGCCGATCTTTTCACTACGCTAGTTCAGTGTTGGGACTCGGATTGGACGTCCCTGGGGAGTACCTTATTCTACCACAGTTGCGAGTTACACAGTCCATTTGGAGTAATGGTAGCATAATTGGTTAATTCTCGGACGAGACCACCAAACAGGTGGATCATGAGAGAACGATAAGACTCTATTCAGTTCGGTTACGGAAATGACGGTAGACTCAAACGCATTACCTGAGGTTGGAATTTTGTCTACAAGACCACTTCACCTAGTGATCCCGACACGATCGAAGGAGCCATCTCCCACATCAAAGGTTGAGATCTGGTGACAGTTTTCTCTCAATCCTAAATCCACGGAGGACGCTCTGTGTTTTACAACTACAGAGAAATACCTAATAGATCAGCTTTGCAGTTCAGGGTCGTCTACTAGGAAACGGGTCGTAATCCCATGTACAGTGGATCCAACAACGGATGGAGTTTTTCACGTATTTGGGATACATCGACAGCTAGTGTCTTCATTGATCCATCTACTGTCACTTCTCGCAGTTGGAGGGCCCATTGGGGATTGCTCTGGTTATCTCCCAGAATAGATAGCAGCGAAACAAACAGCGTTGGATTTGTTGACTGAGCGTTAAAACAGCAAATACGAAGCCTCCTGTCATGTTGTAAAATTGTTGCTGTGGAGTTCTAGTAAAGAGATACTTAAGCAAATACTCGCCTCCTGTCATTAATAAAATTAAGATTATAGGTACACTAAAGCTAGCATAATCTACAATTATCAGACATGGAGCTTCCAATCTCTCTCAGTTTCTGTCATTAGCCAAAATAACGAAACAAATACATGTCCCACAAATAACTATGGTATTAACCCCTATAATAGGGCTGGGGGCATTAGAGGACCAATAAATCTTCATTTCTCGTTTAATGAAATAATTATTCCTCCGTGTCCATTGTCCAGGAGATTAAAGTAAAGTAGATTCCAGAAATCTGTGCCCTGAACATGTATGATTTAATAATAGTGCTGCTAAAAATCACCGCACAATTATAAAATACAAACAGGGATCATCCTGCTCGCATGTCATTGTGGGATCATTATGTCAGATTTAATTTTTTAATTCTTTATTTAATCTCCCGACAAAAAAAAAAAAAAAATATCACATCACGCGTTTCAGATATTTTAAAGCCACTATACTATCTGTCTTAAAGGTAGACTGTCATCACATAATGAACTTAAACTCTTTTAAAACATTTGGTAGCAAAACTGCTAAGACACTGTATAGATTTGGAGAAAAAGCTATCTAAAAATAAGTCTTTTTCTCTCCCATCTGACTCTGCTTTTCTCGGCAGACACTCAATGTCCAGGAATTGAGAACCAGGGAGAGCAGAGGAGACCTCGCGCAGGAAACCTATCTTCTCTCCACCCAAAGCAACCACCGCGCATGCAATGAAGCCAGCGTGTCCGTGTCATGGAGGACATTTGTCCTAGGGCTCAATTTCAAATTCTGGTGCTTGCTTATAAGTCCCTACATAATGCTGCTCCAGCCTACCTATCCCTAATACACAAGTATGTTCCGTCGAGGCCCCTGCGCTCTGCCAAAGATCTATGTCTATTCTCTGTCCGTACTCCCACCTCTAACGCTCGCCTCCAAGACTTTCCCAGGGCTGCACCTCTTCTTTGGAACTTCCTTCCCTTCCCATAAGAATTTCACCTAGTCTCCACTCATTCAAAAAATCATTGAAAACTCACTTCTTCAAGAAAGCATATGAATTAAACTGTTAGCAGGTTTTTAACCCCCCACCCCCCATGCCTTGAAAGTGGCGTGCTGACCATGAGTCCCTCCACGAACTTTGACAGGTGGGACATAGAACAGGATTGTACCAGCGATTTATCGGATTATTCACTCTTCCTCAGATGGAAGTCCAACTCCAGACCCGCTCACCAGGGCCATTTTGTTTTTCATCAGCCGGCCTACACTTCGAACCGATTTAGAATAATTTGCGATTCTCCGTTGCGGTAACCGTAAAAAATTACCTACTAAGCCCTCAGTGAATACTTTTCTAGCAACCTATATCATTACCCCTACTTATTACTTATACCCTTTGTGTCACTATACCCCACTCCCTCTAGAATGTAAACTCATTGAGCAGGGCCCTCTCTGTTCCTGTACGTCCAATTGTCAGGGACCTCTCTGTTCCTGTACGTCCAATTGTCTGGTTAAAATTACATGTGTTAGTCCACCCATTGTACAGCGCTACGGAATCTGATGGCGCTATATAAATAATAAAATAATAATAAAATAATAATTTGTCCTATTCGAGGAATTGTCCCCACGCAGGGCAAATCACCAGGGCCATTTTGTTTTTCATCAGGCGGCCTACACTTCGAACCGATTTAGAATAATTTGCGATTAAGCACGGAGGACTCTTCTTAGTCCGGATCCAAGGAAAATAGATCTGTCACTACCCGACAAAGATAGGGTATAGAATAATTTGCGATTCTCCACGCGATAAGCACGGAGGACTCTTCTTAGTCCGGATCCAAGGAAAATAGATCTGTCACTACCCGACAAAGGAGGGCAGGCAGGCACGAGTATAACACTCGCCTCTTTAATTATATCGTGGCAGGGGAGGGGGAGGCCAGGTAAGCTGTTAAGACACCCCTGGTGTCTTTAAGAGAAACCGCCGTTTAGTTAACCTTCCCCCTTCGCAATATCAATAACTCTGTTCGCATAGACTGCGGTATACGAACCACCATCAGGGGAAGCGGTAATCTCCCGAACGGGATCCGTGAAAGGCTCCAAACTCCCAAACAGAAATCCACGAACCGCCGCTAACCACCGAACAAAGATATCCACCAAGTGGCTTTCGGTTCCAGCAATCAGTCTCTAGTCGTCGGTAATAAATCCCCTCAATAACAAGACAAAGCTCCGCATTGGGGGTCAAACAGGATCTGGCTTTACTGTGGGCTACCCGCCCGTATTTATGCAGGTCTCCCACTTGGTGGACACTCCCCTATGGGGCGCCCAAATGGGAGACTGTAATGACAGATAGACATGGGGACATTTCAGACATACAGATGTAAACTTTTCCCACAATGCAATATGGTTTTCTCCCCTCTGCCCTGGAGATAATTGAGAAGTAATTAAATTATCTCCAGGACAAAGACAAATCGCCATCTTAAATAAAATGCCAGAAAACACACAAAAATATATAATTCCACAACTTCCGAACATTTCACATTCGTATCACATATCCCCAGATAGCCTGGATCTGATGGCATATTATTAGCGAATAGCGCTCAGATCCCACACGCATAGTTCAATCGCCATGGAGTCAAAGTTCTTGCAGTCTTTCGGTATGCAATTGACTCCATGGGAAGGCTATCTGGGTTAAGTCTTTTCGTGTGATTCCAAACTCCCGAACGGCCGGTGTTCGCATGCTTTCGTCAATGGAGCAGGGCGACCCGTTGTTTCAGCGGTGTTCGGCAGAAAAAGTGTCCGTTTTTAGTTCCATGAAATAACTGCCAAACACCGCTGGTCTTTCG